TGCATGTCACAATTCACAATATAACATTATTTCACATTGCATCAAAACATAACAAAATCTGTATGCATCACAATATTAAGATTAGGCTAATTAAAAATATGCATATGATATAGATCACACATAACAAATTAAAATGCATGTATACAAAATATTCGCAATAAGACTCGTCTAATGTATTAACAAAATTGCATCTTACTTTGTTGATGTGTGGACTCACCAAGTCGGACACCTCATGTCCGCCTATGTGTGCAAGCACTTTCCAATTCTCTTGTCACATACACAGCTATAAGAACCAATTTCCTCGCCCTACAAATGTCCTTTCTCTTTGTCTTTCTTTCTTTCTTTTTCTTTCACTGTTTTTCTTTTCTTCCTTCTTTCTCTTCTCTTCTACCTAACATCTTTCCAATTCCATTCTTACTTCAAAACAACAACCAACTAACCATTCTCAGTTCCCTTCTTTCTCATCTCACTCTACCCACAATGACTAACGCCTACCCAAGGTTCCCAAAGCTCTTCCTAAGGTTGCCCCTATAACAAACAGCCCTCAACAATCCTCAAATGGTTCTCGAACAACCCCTGGTCTGCCTCTAACCAACTCGTACTCCAACAAACCCTCAAACAGCAGTCACACACATGGCTAGCACCACCCTGCAAACCCGCTCCAACCTTGACTCCAATTAGCTCCAGCAGGAAACTACCTAGCTACAAATCCTGTACTAACCTGAGAACTCCCAATGCTCTTACCTCCAAAGCTTGCTCCAGCTGCTCCTGCACCCTACCCAAGAGCTCCCAACTCCTTCAAATAGCCCCAATTCAAACTCCTGCGGCTTCCAGCTGAACCGGAGAGCCCTCTTGATGCAATTGCCTTGGGTTGGATTGAAATGGAAATAAAATAATCTAAGGCATTTGAAATGCCTTAACTATCCCTTCCCAATGCCTTGCATGCAAGCCACACTTATTCTCCCAAATACCCCTAGCTGTAGTAAAGTTAATGTTTAAACAGTAATCTCATTTTTAACTTGGGGAAAAAATATAAATGGGATTTAATTCCCTATCTTCTAATCCTTTGTAATTCGACATATAGTTCTTTATGTCGAATTGCTCCATTCGACATGTGATACATACTTGATCAAATTTAGGTTTTACAATTAACATGCAACTCGACCCATATTTTGAAGAAACCATGCTTAAGGCATAATTGCAACCAATGAATGAGTGATTTGAGCTAAGTCAAAAAAGATGAACCAATGGTCCAATAGCTAAAAATTCAAAGAAGGCTATGATAAGTCACTCATGGTGATCTTTAATAAGGTACACCACTAGAAGCCTCCTCTAGTTACATTTAGAGCAATCGCCCACATTGTCATTAAGTTTAAGGTTACTAATTGATGCAATCAAGGATTATCATTTTATATTTTATATTTTATTTATGTTTTGGATATTATGTAATTTTGGATTATTTTTTATGTGCCCTATAATGAAAATCAACTCATGATCATGCTTAGGTATGACACTCTTTGGTAATTTTTTCTCCTTTGGTTTTCCACTAATGTTTAATTTGTTTACTTGCTTCCTCGATGGCTAAGTTGGTATTTATCTTTGGGTTGTTTTTGTCCTTAGTGGGCTTGACCCTTGTCTGTCTATATTGGCTGGTGGTTGTGTATTTACATGCAATTTTGGATTCATTGATGGCTGTTTTTTCCCTACAGATTTTGGTTTCATGTACTTGGAATTCCTACCATGCAGTTTTGGTCTATTTTCCTAGGCTCTGATTTATTGCTGCTGGCCATTCCCCTTCTCCCCTTTTGCTGATTCCTAGTCTAGTGTTTATCTTCTCAAGAAGAGGCTTCTCGGCTACTTAGGGTGGCACATTAATGTGGGCTGTTCGGTCTTTTTTTTTTTCTATAAAATGGGTTGTTTTGCTGTTGGAAATGGTGGTTGTTGGCTGAAATCTAATCCAAACCTGTGGTTTTCTTCCTAGCTTGAGAGCTATCTTCTTCCTACACCTATTTGGCTACTTAGGGTGGCGCATTAATGTGGGCTGTTGGGTCTATTTTTTCTATAAAATGGGTTGTTTTGCTGTTGGAAATGGTGGTTGTTGGCTGAAATCTAATCCAAAAATGGGGTTTTCTTCCTAGCTTGAGAGCTATCTTCTTCCTACACCTATTTCTACTTCCCGGTCTTCTATCTATTTCTTCTCTCCATGGTTATCGTTCCATTTGTATCTTTCTTATCCAAAATATTGTGAGTGTAAGGTGTTGTTGAGCTCGTTTGTTGGGCTGGAGGAGTGATGGTTTGAGCTGGATCAAAATTTCTATGGCCACCACTGATTTGATTTTTCCTCTGAGCATCATTCTCTAATTTTCATATTTGAATGTGGGGTGACCTTTCTAGGTTGTTCTGTGGGTAGTTTATTTTATGTTTTAGTTTGTTTCTTGCAAGGTTTCCTAATCATTTATATCTTTTTACTATTAAGTTTTATTCTATTGGTGTTGGCTTATGCTTTATTGAAAGGGAGTGTCTGGTTGAATTCATAGTGTTCTTCTATTTGGCTATAGAAGTTAGGTTTCATCACTAATAGATGGTTCTGGCCACCTCACTAGTTTAGTGGTAGGTTGAGGAGTGTTTGAGTGGGAGAAGTGAAAATCTAAGAGCTTAGCTTTAAGTTAACAAATATTGGTTGTACATCCTCCAAATGATCCTTTTATCATTCAGTTTGATTCCTATAGGTTTTATATCATTCTTTTCCACCTAAGTATATTGCATCACAAAAATAAGAATTGATAACCAATATTAACTTTTTAAAGCCTAATTCCAAAATGTTTTCATATACAAATAAATTTGAGTATAGATTCAATATTATCAATTTTAGTTGGACACAAGGATTTAAAGATCTCCAAACCCCAGATTAGAACTATAACATGATATTTATGGTCTATTTGGAGTAATTTTTTTCATTGTTTTGTTCTTCATATTATTTTCGCACTTTTTGTTGGCTATTTCTTTCTTTTTTTAAATTTTTTTTATTGCGAAAAGTTTTTTTTTTTATAGCTGGATTTATTTTCTTTGAGACTTTAAATAAAAGAATACCCAAATATGTAATAGGTAAAGGTTGATTAGGCTTGCTAGAAGTTTGAGAGATCACATGAATTCCACTTCCATCAATTTTGTTGGCATTAAGCAAAACTACTCATAGATTTATCAACTCAACCATTAGCCTATAGGCATATTCAAATGGATTGAGTCCATTCAACGAGCTTTTCCTCCATCATTTAAGGACACCAAAGTATCATTAGTAAAATATAGATGAGTGATAGGTATGGGATAATTAGCATAGAAATTCATGGAAGAAAATTTAGAGAAAAAATTAATAAAACCTCTAAAACAAAAGAATTCAATGGCTAAATTGAATACGCTGCAAGTGATAGGGCCACCTTGATGAAGGCCCCCCCACCCCCAAAAAAAAACGCTTTTTACCTTTATGCGAGATTGAGAACCAGCAAATTTTACTATTAAAATCAATTAGATTTATCTATTCAATAGAGAAATCAAAATTAGCCTATGTAATATATAAGAAGTCCTGTAGGGTAAAATCATATGCCTTGACTGCATCCAATTTCATGGTATTATTATTCCTTTGCATTTGATCAAATCGTGAAGCATCATCTAGGCTGGATAAACATTGTCGCTAATGGTTCTTTCCTTTACAATATCACTGTTATTAAGAGAAATCAGTTTAGTCAAAATTAGGAAGAAGGGTTGTAGGGATTGCAGTAATCACATTATTTGAATACTAAACAAAAGCTGATGGTCAAGGCTGGCCAAGAGGAGTCCTTTGGAATACGAATAAGCTTGGTGGAGATCAAATATTTAGGTATGGAACTACCCCTGAAGAAGTCGAATAGTCTCATAAAAGGTTCAAATAAATAAAATCCCAACATGATTTGCAAAAAAAAGGAGTAAATAACAATATAATTATAATAAAACACCGAAGCTTTAATCTTAGTCATGCTAGTGATCCAAAACCTCATTTCGTTTTTGATCCTGAATGTCTTAGGGTCGACCCTTTTCTTTTTAACAAAGAAGTGATAATATTGCGTATTACATCAAGCTTTTAACTGTAGCTTTTTTCCTCCAGATCTCTTCTTCATGTCTAAAATATGAAAAAGATAGCTTTTATCCTTTTTTTTTTTTCTCGAGAACTGTTGTCCCTTATCCAAAACATGTAAAGGATCAGCACTTGCCTTGTAAAAGTTTATTCTGTCTTGGACATTATTAATTTGTTGGGAAATTAATTTAACTTCATTTATTATAACATAAGCTATCTTTACCTAGAAGACATCAAATATATTTTTATCCCACCTCTTATGAGCTTATTTTAGGTTTCGTTTGGGACGGCTTTCTTACTGTTTTTTAAAATTGTTTTTTAAAACTGTTTTTCAATACATAAAACTGTTTTAAAAAACAGTAAAAAAGCCGTTCCAATCGAAACATTTGTCTTTGTTTTTAAGTCAAGTCAAAGAAACAAGGCACGTCTATATGGTCAACATATATTAGGAGACAAGACTATTTAGTTGGCATTTTGATAAGTACTTTTGATGTTTGTAGCTTCTTTTAGACTTTTGTACTACTTATTCCTTCACGTACATGTTAATGTGTCCATGACTCTTCTATGAAGTCTCTTGTAGTTTTGTGTTTCCATTAGACAAATTAGTTCATTTAATTAATCAATCTGAGAGTTTACTTTATTGCAGCTAATTCCTGGATTGGCTGTTCATATTTGCATGAAAAAACTCTTTTTTCAATAAAATACTTCTTTTGACTAAAACAAAACATAAACATGCAATAAGGTGATTATTTAAGTGTACCTTATGCAATATATACATTTTAAGGAGCTGAAAAGAATAAGATTTTATGATGGCATTGCTTCTTTTAAGATTATTATTATTTTGGGTAAATCTGGGAAGTAAAAACCATTTTTTCTCATTTATTTTCCCCCTCTGCAGGAAAGTTTCAAACTGATGTTGGCAAAGCTTGGGCATTGGAAATCACATCAAGGAGGAGGAAAAAGCAAGAATAACTCTATATATGTTTGTAGGAATTGTCACCAGTTGAAGCTCTTAGGTTGATGTGAAACTCATTAAGCATTTATTTGGGGTGTCTGCAGTTATTTTTTTAAATTATGATGTAATTTCTTTGAAATGTAGAGGATAGAACTGTAAAATTTTGAATTTAGAAACCATGACTTATTTCAAGTAGCTATTGTTTTTCTACACATCTATCCTCACATTTCCTTAGCTTATTGTTCATAGGAAACAACTCTCTCAACTTATTTCCTTATCATCTATTCCCTTCAAGCAGCATATCATGTCCTCCTATTAATCATGCATTAATCCTGAGATTAAGTAATACTAATGGGATTAGAGTGTTTTAATGTTCATCCAAAACACTTTGATCCAGATTTTATTAAAAAAATTATTCATCTTCTCTTCAGCACATCTTCTAAAAACAAAAACAGAACAGCAATCCCAAAAAGTCTGCAAATAAACCACACCATTAAAAGATAGTAAAACACACTCATGGATTCTCTGAATCAGCAAGTGCCTCACTTGGCAAACTAGAATACCCAAACCCAGATTGATTCTTCTTCATCATCATCAATTCTCCATCTCCTTTCTTACACTCAAAGTAGAAAACAACTGCAACAACCAAATCAAACACATTCATCACTGCAGCAACAGCAAAAAATACTCCAATAATCGCCAGTTTCTTCATTCCAGATAAGGAAGGATCCATCAATGGCAACATGTAAGCAACCATACTCGAAGTGATAAAAATATTAATCGATATTCCTTTCCACCTCCTCCCTTTCATCATCTCTGTTGCTTTCACTATTGCAGCCAGCCCATATATCCCTTCTTCATCTTCCACTGAAACCACCACACTAAGCAACCAAATCATAGCTAAATACAGATTTAGAATCACTGCTGATATAAGAAGAATAAAGCTCAGAACATAAAACCCAGCAGAATTCATTGAAAATAACGCCAATCCAACTGTCAACAAGAAGATTAAAGGAACAAACATATTAGTAAAAATGGTGGCATAGAATTGAGTGATCATAGTTCCTTTCCATGTTTTTTTGAACTTAGAGAACAGTTCTTTCAGTGTTGGTTGCTTTTTATCAGTATATGTCATGCAGATAGAACACAGCGTTGAAGTGCTTAAGAGAGTGGAGAATAAGAAGATTGTGACAAAGAAGATTATTTCAAGAATTGTGATCTCTCTGAGCTCTGTAAGTATTTCACTGAAGATTTGGTAGAAATCTGGATTTGGAGGCTTGAGTTTTGAAAGAGAGGTGATGTTTTGTAGAAGTTTGGTGAGGATTGGATTAACAGATAGGGATTTGAAGATGGATAAGAGGAAGTTGATGAAGTATAAGGGGACAAAAATGAGAAGAATTTGCCAGTTTTTGATTAGGAAGATGAGAGCTTCCCATATGATTTTGAAAAGGTTTGAGGATTTTGATTGATTGGAAGTGGCCATTTGTGTTTCTTTTGCTGCTTCTGCCTCTTCAGTTTGATTGGAAGAGCTATTTATGAACCTCTTTGCTTGACTTTGAATTGTCTAAAGTCTTTTTTTTATTTCCTGGAAAGCAACATTGATAAGTAACCTGCTTGACTTTGAATTGTCTGAAGTCTAGAGAAGATTAGTTGGAGAATTAGTCATTTTAAGACAAAAAAAAATTAAAAATAAAAATTCATAATAAGTTGACATTAAAAAAAAAAATCATTTTTTTGGGATAAAAATTAAAAACTATGGAAATGCCCAGAAAGTAGATCAAATATCTTATATTTATGCAGTCTATTGTATAATGATGAGAAGACTTTAAGAGGAGCTTTATAATTTATTTGATAGAAATTATCATATTAAATTCTACATATTTAAAGTGCCTCACTCAAAATAAAAATGAAAATAAAATAAAAATATCATTTGTGTAAGAAACATTAATCCTTTATATTAAATTCACAAAATCATTATATGAAACAGTCAGTAATTAATCTTAAAACTTTAAAATTTGTATTTGATTAATTTATAATTATTCTATTTTATATTAATAAAATACTTAAATAAATTTCTATCATGTAAGTGAAAAATTACCTCAAATGCATCAATGCATAAACAGAGGACTGCAGCACTATAAGCTGTTTGTTGCTCATTAATAAAAAAAATATAAAAAATCAATGCCACTAATGCTTTCAATCAATAATACAATTAGAATACATATAATACATTCTACAGCCCATTGTCAAAGGTCATACAAACTCATCTTTCAAGTAGAAAAAATCATATTTATATATATTATTGTGAACTTTTAACATATACCTAAGTAAAGAATACACCTAACAGAATCACCCCTACAGGCTTTTGCTCACAAAGTGAATGCAGAATCCAATAGTTTTTTTAGACTTTGGCTTCGTTTGAGATAACTTTCGTATTGCTTTTTAATTATTTATCGCTGAGCTCTATTTGCCGACGATGTGCCCGAAAAAGCTCACAAAGTGATTGCAGAATCCAATAGTTTTTTTAGACTTTGGCTTCGTTTGAGATAACTTTCGTACTGCTTTTTAATTATTTATCGCTGAGCCCTATTTGCCGACGATGTGCCCGAACTGCTGCTCGCCGACGCCGTCAGTTTTCACCTCAGCTTGCAGTAATGATTCAACACTGCATTTCCTGAATCTTTTTCAACGTTATAGTAGCACAAATAGGTCATCATTAGCCATCTCAATCAGGATTATGAGCAGAAATGTTACTTCAGAGTAGCCCAAGAAGATGGTTATGAGCTGCTTTAAACTCTTATGTTTGTTGCGGGCTGCATTTAGTGTCAGGAATTATCTGTACAGAGCTGTTGCAGAATAGAGCCAATGATTATCATTCAGTTGAAAAAATAGGGTGAGTCCAGAACATCTTTCAGGTCGAAATCGCCGTACTCCGGCAGCGAAGGGAAAGATAAAGTAGGGAATGATTTTTGAAAGCTCTCCAGCAACTGCAAAATGTTCAGTGATTAGGAAATATAAAGCAGGATTTTCAAATTCCAACGGTAAAAGCACTCAAGACTGCGTGAAGAAATTAGTAGAAGGATTTATATAGCAAGATATAATACAAAAAATTCTCAAATAAAGAAAGATAATATGGACTGGAACTGTCTGGGAGGTGAAATGAACTAATTAGTATCAGAACCTCTAGTAGCGGTGAAGTATGGATGCAACAGCCATTATAGAATTTAAAAGATAATGAAGCAGATAAAAAAAATGAAGCGATGGATAAAATTAAACAGGAAAGATAAAAAAATAAGTAACCCTGGACTTGCACTTGAAGGAAATCATATTATGGAAGAATTTTAAGTCTACAATAATAACAATAACAACAACAAGCCTTTGTCCCACTACATGGAGTCGGCTACATGAATCATTCTTCTCCATTGTGTCCTATTAAAGGTCAAATTCTTGTTTAAATCTAATAAAGAAAGATCAATTTTTAAGGTTTTCTAACCAAGTCTTTTTAAATCTACATCTACCTTTCTTAACATAAATCAAATCTAAAACCTGGACTTTCCTAACCGGGTCATCAGAAGGCCTCCGTTTAATGTGACCAAACCATCTAAGGCGACTCTCTTTAATCTTATCTTCCAATGGAGCTACTCCAACCTTTTCACATATACGCTCATTTTGTATCATATCTCTAAGGGTAAAGCCACTCATCCACCTAAGCATCCTCATATCTGCAACACTTAACTGAGTAATATGCTTCTCTTTTAACGACCAACATTCTGCACCATAAAGCATTGCATGTCTCACCACCATCTTATAGAATTTTCCCTTAAGTTTGAGGGAGACTTTTCTATCAAACAATAAGCCTGATGCATTCCTCCACTTCAACCATCCAATTTGAATAAGCCAAAACATCCTATTTATAGGTTCAGAGATAAGAAAATCAACGAATAACAAACAATAATTTTGACCAAAAAAAAATCATGAGGCCCAAAATAAATAAAGGAGGATTTACATGCATAGCACAAAATAAATAAAGGGTGATTTCTCAGTGTGGTGTGGCTCCATAATTTTATCCATTTTGGATTTTTTCCTAAATGATTGCTAAAATGACTTCTCAATCAATGAGATAAAGATAGATATAAACAGCAAATGGCTGAGCTAAACTGCAAGATTGTCAAACGCATCAAGTAGCAATGGTCAAATGTCCACAACATAGTTTATCTTCCATCATAGATTTTTTTTTTGTAATATTTCCCTCACGCAGTAAGATATTCAGATCAGAAATGGCAATGATATGGCATGGTTGAATAGTTGAAAGATTTGTAAATCTAAATTCAGCATACTAGTTTAGCTTATCATGTTAAAAACCAAGGCAAAAGAAACATTACAGTCTCCAGAATTGGCTGCTCGTACAGTTCCACAAACTTTTCTCGAAGAATTGTGTTCATCTCATCAACATCACATGCATGTGTCCAGTATGAATCATGGACTCCTGAAAATAAAATTAAACAAATTTAGATAAAACTTAAGTGCATTAGTTGTAAATATGTTAGACCGGTCTAGCCAGTTCACATAGGACCGGCCCAGGCGAATAGTGGCAGAACTTCTCCGCCTCTCCCGCGAGGCCAATCAAGCCGCAAGTTTTCGGGAGCCGAATAGGAAATATTTTTTGGGGAATTAAGAGGGAAATTTGAATGAAAGGACTGTTTAGGGATTTCCTTTTGATTTGTATGCATTAAATAGTTTGTTTTCCTAGAGTTAGGGCATTTTGAATTTGGTTGATTTTGGGATCTCTTAGGTTTAGGTTTTGGACTCTAGATTCGTCTAGAGATTGGGAGAGATCAATCCTCCTCTCGAATAGAGGATCACTTGTATCTTGTTGTTTTCTTCCGATCTATTTGAATCTTACAATAAAATTATTGTTTATTTGATTTTCTTTTGGAGTTTGGAAGAGTTTTTCGCTGATTTTTTAAAATTGATAGGATTTACTTGAGATCTTCAAGTGTTTCCTATCAAAATATCAAGAGACACAACCTGCAATAATAAATTACCTGCAAAATTCAATCCAGCGTTTCTACAGGCCACTGCAGTCATCATCATATGGGATCCATCAAGGGAGTGGATAAAATTTGGTGGGAAGGCTGTTCTCTGACGTTTCACCATAACCTACATAAAAGTCAGATAGCCAGAATATGATACTTTCAGACAAGTTTTGATGATTAAATTGCAGGGTAAAGTTATGATTTTGGAAATAGAATTTGATTTGTCAGAATTTTAGAAAAGTTCAACTAGTTACCATGTCGGTCTCTCTTTGCAATGTTAAGACTTGAAGAGATGTTTTAATCTGAAGGAAAAATTAATCAAAGCAGTTACAATTTAAGCAACTATGCTTAGTGCTTATGTAATCACCCAAATTCAGCAAAAGAGAGCAAGGCAGTGGGTGAAAAGCATGAGAATTATTATCTGCAGGCAATTCTTTTTACTCAGCAATGATGCACAAGTGTGAGCGCAAGAGAGTGAGCTATGGATTCGTGTGTGTGTGTGTGAGGGAAAATTATTAGGTTTGGACAACGGACGTAGAGATACATCCGTACTCCAATAAAATATTGACACATAGAATGTACACGTGGATATTCAATTAAATTTAATTTTTTTACTTTATAAATTAGATGTATCCGTGAAAGTTTAAGTCAAGTGCAGTCAAAGCTCAGTCGAAGCGCAGTCAAAAAGCGCAATAAAACTCAGACCACGTGTCAAATTTTAAGTGGATATCCGGACGTATATCTACATCCGGTGTCCGGACCTAAGAATTTTCTGAGAGAGAGAGAGAGAGAGAGGTCCTTACTAGATGCCTTCCCAGTTTATTATATGGCTGAACCACAGGAAGGCCAAGTGGCGTCGTCCACCTCACTGGTTGATTTTCCAAGGCAATTAACTGTTTTGAACATGCAAAATCGTTAGTTAATAACGCATTCTAATGCTTTTCAGCGATCAATTTCATTACTTTCATCAGCTTTGGAAGTTACTAAATTCTAATGCTTCAAGTAACCCCACAAGTTTTACAAAAGTCATGACCTGTTTAGAAATAATAAAGCACATCTGAAAGACAAGCAACCTGAAAAGTTGGATTCAAAAGACACTTATTGGAAAAAAAAAATCTAACTGGTTCCTTTTTCTCCACATGTTTAGCAGTTTCTATTCAATCTGCCATACTGGTCAAACGTTAAGTTGTGAAGAAGTTATTGTCCAACGTCACACTATCATCAAGTCCTGATACAATCACTTTAGGTCAACTTACTAGTTAGTGTGGTATCCCTTTTCACATATTTTTACATAACTATGTCTTGTTTGACAGTGCAGAAAAATTTGGAGCTCTGTCCCTTCATAATCAATATAAACATTGGATGTCCCAGAGACTGGTAATACATTTAGGAAAGAGGTTTGTGATAGGAAATACTTGAGTTCGCAAGTAACCCTAATGGAAATACTTGAGTTCGCAAGCAAACCTAGCAATAATTGGTAAAATCAGCGAGAATAATAGAAGAGTTTGTGTGGAAGCAATCAAAATCAGTAGATAATTTTATAGAAATCAAAGCGAAGCAAGAACAAAATAAATATACAATTGATCCTCAATTCGAGAGGAGGATCGTTCTCTCCCAATCTCTAGACGAGAAGCCTAGAACCCAAGACACCAAAGAGAACTCCAAGAGAAGCATAATAATGCATAAACCCTAACCCTACCTTCTCATGCTTTTAAATACCCCACCTCCTAATAAAAGCTTTCTAATATAAAATAAATTCAAATTAGCCTCCTCATGCAAACCGCCCTCTTTCTCTCTCTCTAATTACCGCCCAATGGGGAAGGGGGGGGGGGGCACTTGCTTAGGCGGTGGCCCCTAAAGGAGGCGGCTTAGTCCGCCTCCTATATGTCTGAGCTGGCCCCTCCTGGGCCGGTTTGGGCTGTCCCGTAACAATTTGATAAAAAAAAAACTACATGTAAATCTTCCATGCTCATAATTATGTCAGTTAAGTAGAGGAATGGTGGTATATAAGAGGAAAGGAGATAAGACTTTCTCATGTTTACTTCTAGGTTGTGCATTAGAAAATTGCATAGCTTTGATGATAACAATAACATAGCCTGTTCAATATCTGCTCCATGGCAGAACAAAAAGCTGAAAGAGAGTTTGTTGTTGCTGCTGGATCCTTAAATAAACAAACCTTTGCACAGTCACCGAGCCAGTTCATGATACTTCGGGCAGCTTGAAACATCTCCCCAAGAGCAGTTAAGGTAATCTGCACAAATAGTAAAAAACATCATTCCAACATAAATGTCTCACAAGATAGCAAATACTGCTCTTCATTCAAATTTTGCAAAATTAAGCGAAATAAGAGTATTTTCATACTTTTGCAGCATAGCAAGAAGCCTTAAATAGTACAGAATCATCTGCGATAGCATTGCGTTCCTTTAACCTTCTCTTTATTTGCTCACGTGCACCAATATAGGTGACACCATAAACAGAAGTCATAACAGTTTGTTTCACCAATTTGCGGTCCACCTAATCCATATAAACCAACTTGATTAGCAAATGCAAGAGAAGTTTGAATCTTACAAACCATTAGGAAGAGAGACATTAGTGATTTCCTAAAGATGCAAGTTCAAGCTATGAACACAACAATAAAGTAACCCCAAAATAAAACAAAATATTAATACTTTTTCTTTCATTCATTTTAGGATAATTTCTTATAACATTGTTAACAATTTGATCTTGAGCCGATCCAATCTTGGCTAAAGATTTGCACAAAGCCACTCGATCGAAGCTTGAGCCAAGTCAAATCTAGTAACAAATTGTCTCTAGCTAATCGCTAAACAATCTTCAATTTTTAAGTTTAATTTTGAAAGAAAAATTAATAAACTATTAAGTGATTTTAATAATATGATATATTCAAAAAATTAAATAATTAAAATTATGATTAAACAATAATAGGTTTTAAGTTTTATTATTATTGAAATATTTTAAAAATAGATCAATCAATAAAATAATATTTATTTAAATTACAAAATTTTTAATAATTGGGATAAAAAGTTCTCCCAAAATAAATAAATAAAAAAACAAAACTGGTTTTATTATCATTTAATGAAAAAAGTGCATACTAAGCAATAGCAAATTCTTTTCAGATTGATTCTTCATAAAATCTAATTAAAAAAACATAGTATATAGATTATATTAAATATACGAAATAGATTGAAAAAATTAAGATAATCTCATTTTGAAATTAAACTCTCACCTCAAGTTTGCTTTTAAAGATGGTAGATACTTTCTTTCATTGTCTAAACACTTAAAATAAATTCAGAAAATGTCAAAAATTTTGAATAATAAGGAATTATATGTTCTTTTCAATTTTATTTTTATATGAATTATGATTAGAATGGATTAATTAGAAGAGTAATAATATAAAAACTAGACTAGATGTTAAATTAATTGGATGGATGTGATTTGATTGTTTTAATGATTTCAGATGAATAAAAAGTGTTCAAACTTTTAGAGAGAACAATTTCAAATAGAGCTCTTTTGTTATTTTGGGATTGAGGAGAGAACTTTCTCTCTTACTGTCACTTAATAATATGTATATCGAAATCCTAAACCAGAATTTTACAACCGTGCGTGCCCCCCGCCGCTGAGCCCTAGCCGATCGGGCTCTCTACCCGATCTCCCTCTCTTCTCCTCTATTATATTATATATAATATATTATTTATATAATGTATTGTATATAATATGATATTATTTATTATAACATACATATAATAATATATATTATATATTATAATATAATATAATGTATATATAAATATATATTATTTAAAAAAAAAATAGATGTGGAGAAATATGAAATGATTTTCAACAGGTGTCGAAGACCCCGGTCGTCGTACCTTAGGTCCGACCGGGATGCTTTTAAAATTTGAAGACCCCGGCCGTCGCATTTAGATCAGGCCGGGATGGTTACAAATTGAAGACCTCACGCAGTCAATCTTAGATCCTGGTGTGATGGTTTAAATTCGAAGCCCCTACGCCGTCGACCTTAGGACTGGGTAGGAAGAATTACGGCAGTGCCGTCCCGATTTCTCCCTCGGTGGGGAGGAGACGCCGGGAGGCTACCGAAATTTTCAGTGAACAACAAAGGACTTGGACAGAAAATTGGAAATTAATTTGAACGAAATTCAAATATAAAATCAATTTTAATTCAAATTTGATAAAATAATGTTGAAATTGGACCAAAATCAAACTTCTCATCAGGATCTTACACTCAACGACATAACAAAATTACAAGGGTCATTATAAAACTTGAATGATAGTAAATATTAAGGAGAATGAGAATTTTGTGGTTTCTAAGTAATATATATGTTCAAAATCAAAGTAGTACAGCCCACTTTGAAAGCTGAAATGTTGTAAGCAACTTATATATATATGTATATTTGAACTTATGAAACCAATCTAATTTTTTTTAAATTGATAGTTCATGTATTTGTAATTTTGATTTAAAAAAAAATGCAAAATAAAAAAAACAACTATGTCTTGTTCTGCTGACAATTTGACTTGATAGAAGAATTTTCCTAAAAGATTTGAGAGCCTCTTATGTGATTGAGATGAAGCATTTGAAGATGATATTTAAATGAAACTTGAAACTATGAGTTAAAGGGTATACTCATATTGCAAAGATGAAAATGTAAGAGAAAATTATTTTGAGGAAGGTTAAAGACTACTGTCATTGACACCTCAATCTTCTTCTTAATGAAGTTGTGTTCGATTGATAAATTCTAGAAGTTGAAAATAATCAAGTCAAAGAACTAGTTCTCCAAAACTCACATTCACATCTAACTATATGGCATCTACATATAGAGATGGGTCAAAGAATATGTGAAATATACATGAGTCATTCTATTGTCCATCAGATCTACATGAAATTCTTCAGTCAATTATTTCAGGGAAGTATATTCAAAGAGTTATATCAATACTATGAAATATCTCTTTTATCTCAAATACACTAGACCACTCCTATGTTATTAAGATCTTAAAAGGTGTCTTATTTGGCTTCTTTTAAGTACCATTATATGATAACTACCCATCATTTCATCAGAAGGCACATCATAAATGCATAAGAAGAATAAGTAATGAATTTATAGTATACTTAATTGATTTATATGAGATAATAGAAGATTCGTAGCAAGCAATGCAGTTGATTTGTAAGCAAGAATACGATCTTCTAAATGTTAGTGCATAAAAAAAAAACCCTTACAAGCTATAGTAGATGATACGATAAGCTTGAATAAATTGAACAACACATCATTTACATATCACAACTCAAGACTTAATTTTTAAAACGACACCGGATCCGCAACATGTGTGCAAGCGGACAGAAGGCGTTTGTAGGCCCTTAAATGAAATTTTGAGCATTTCTAAATAAAATCACTCTCACATAATGTATCATATTTAAATATTTTAAAATACTCCTTATGTATTAAATATGATCCTTTAAAATAAAATTTACCCTGCATGTGCTCCGACAGACCTATTAAAGTTACAAACACAAATAGTCGAGAATGCTGCGCAGGGTCAAATGCTACAACCCGCATGTGCTCCGATCGTAATATCTAAGTACCAAATCTAACGATTCGAGAATGCTGCGCGGGTCTAATATTCAAGTTTCATCCTCCTCCTCAAAAGGACTGGAGTCGACATGACTTGAAGTATAAAATACCTCTCAAAATTCTACAAAAATACAAGTGACCTTAATGTCATCCCGATGATGGCCGTGTGATCGAAAATCTCAACCGGATGGGTCAAATTTCAAATCTCAAATCAAACAAGAGCCCAAATTCTTAAAATCAAATCTATCATCTAAAAACTCAAAACTAAAAAAAAAAAGCATCCATCTCCCATAATCGTTTGTCGGGGGTGATAAATTTGAAATTAACATCAGCTCACAAAGAGCAAATGTTGTGTTGGGTGTATCACTACGATTCATCCTCAAACAGTCTCTTGCCAACAGGGACGTGGCACGTGCCCTCTGATCGGGTGGTTTCGTCGCAAAATGACACCATTATATTACGATCACGGCCAAAGCCCGTATGTTCCCTAAAGGCGTCAAAACCCTTGAGCGATGGATCATAGGGTATATTCAATAGGCATAAAGCCCTCTGTTAGCTAAGGTGGATTCAGATATATCCCCTTAGACAAATACCAACCCAGGTCTACAAGGTATTCTTGGACGAAGCAACCCATGACTGCCGACAAGGTGCCTTCTGTCAGGTTGGGTCGACTACCTCCTCTGACTAAGTAGACCAGGGATCATGACAGCCCGGGACAACGGAACCATGGGATCTTGATCGGGCTCGTCTTCATTCCCCCCACCACCAGTTTTAAGTTTATGGTGATAAACTATAAATTCCAAATTTCAAACTTCCAAATTCAAAATCTAAACCCTAGAATTGTTGCTATTATACGATAGGTTTATAACCTATTTGACCTCTTTTATGACTAGCTTTAATCGAAAGTTCTCTCCTATTATTGAGAGGGGTAATTAACTATAGGGGCTTGCGCCTATAGGAAACCAGAACTCAGATAAAAAAGTCCTCACAAAATGAGGGCGAAATCTCTGGGTTATCTAAAACCCAATCTGCCTTCTGAAAATTCCCTCGGAACCTAATCTAGTTAAAACTCTCTGCCGTCATCGTCTCACAAACACTTAAAAGAAAAATAGACCAATGACGTGGAGAGGCCGGGATCACACATAACAAAATGGAATTTTTCGGAGCCCACACGCTACCACATTAATTGTATCTACCAACCTTATTAGTTCATCCCTAAACTCTTTTACACATACCAAAATTAGATTACTCAATTTCGTAATATCTTATCTTCAAAAAGTTTTTCTCACTTAATCTTTCAAAGCAAAGCCTTGCATTGGGTATCCATACCTACACCCACCCATAACCCCATTGCATCGTGGGTGGGTATGGGTACTCAACATCGGGGGATAAACTAATTTGCATTGCTAATCACCATATGTTGTATATTACCGCAATCCTCACTACGCAGTGCGCAACACTAAACCGCATTGTGACTACGATAAATTCTGATATGCGGCTTAAAAGTTTGTAGTCAGAGCAAAGGACAACAAATCTCAAGGCCATCAAAAAGTGACGGACAACATTCAAAAAGCATAGAACGTGGGTGGGTATGGGTGGGTAAGGCATCCCGAAAGTCACCATGGTTGGGCGTGGGTGCCCAATGGTTACCCAACCAGGACTCCATGTTGGGCTTTGTTTCAGAAAAGGATCATTTCTCGCACCATGTTTTCTAGATTTTTCATGCATGTTTTAACAATATTATTTCTATCACACTACATTCTGCAATTTGTTGTTGCCACATTTCCCTAATTGAAGAAACTTCATCATCATCATTACCCTTATCTCAACAATTTGAGGTCAGCTTTATGAATCCTCATTTTCAATTCATTCTTTCCAACCTTCCATATCCAAGCTTGGGACACAATAGAAATTTTCTAATTGTCAAAACTCTAGATTTAAAATTTTGAAATATTTGCCAACAAATGATAGTGAAACTTAAAAAAAATAAAGGTCTAGCAAAAGGAAAGGCTTTAGAAAATTTCTCCATCAGTTCAACGAATTCCATCAAAGCTACCAGTAACAACATAAAGCACTATGTCAATTATGAAACGAGCTTACCTGGCAGCTATGCTAGAGTAAACATCAGATGGCTTGTCCCCGGCAACCAAGTTTACTGCCGCAGCCCCTAACTACAAAAAGCCAAACTTCAATTAGAGGCAAGGGAAAATATTACATAGGCATATTAATCTAAGCTCAAGAAAAGAAATCAATAGGAAGAGAGAAAAGAAAGCCTGTAAATGTTAAGTTAAATGAAGAACATTGTAAGTTTTCGTCTGCAATTATGGAGATGATTGACAGTAATAGAGGTATGGCATGAAAGGAAAGATGAAGACTTGTTAATTTTAATGACCACTTAAAAGTTGGAAAATAAGTAAGTTATTCAATAGCATTAATGAGGAAGGGAAACAGATAACTGTTTGTATATAAGGTAGCCCATCCAGGCAGGGGACAGGGGTGAGTTGCAGAAAATGCCAAGGAAAATGTAAGGAATAGAAATATAACAGTGAGACTAAAAACTAGAACTAAAGCAGGAGATTCCCTGTCTTAATTTCATAAGAAATGGAATATCAGATCTCCTGATGCTTCTTTACATCAAATATCGAAAGAAAGGATGAAGTTAATATACTGCAACTGATACACTATTTCAATTTCGAAAGAAAGTAAGAAACATTGCCATTACCCCTACGCCTACCATATCCTCATGCAAGCAATACCTAGCTAAAATGTGCGCCATAATTTTGTTAAGATAAAAACTAAAAACAAAAGTACTGAGTACTAATAAAAAAATTTTAAACCTTAACGGATTAAATGAAAACAGTTAAACAATTATTCCAAATCATGAGCAGAATATGTAAAAGAATCAACATGAGATCAACTTAGCAGTTCAAGAAAAGGCTAAGTGATGAGGACATCGACAGACGCTACCAACATGTTTATCGCCGTCGAAATCACAGATCGACAGCCACGATTCAGCGCCTCTATTTTTGATTCAGATATCATGATGTAGTCGATGTATTTTATTATTTTATCTTTTATTTACAGTCTTTTCCATTTGTACCCCTGTGGGGAGTTACTTTGATGTTGTAGCCCAGAGGGCAATTATGTACTTTCTCTTTGCTTGATTGGAGACCTATATATAATGGTCTCATGTGATGTAAAATGGTTAATGAATATTTTGAATGAAAATTTGTTTTGATTATCTTGTCTTCTTCTTGTTGAGAGCTAGAGAGGAGAACGAGAGCCCAAGGTGAGGGCGAAACGCAATACCCACCAGTCATTGGAAGAGTCTGTGGCTCGTGGTCTATCCCCGTCATTCCGACTCCCTCCTCTTCTCCACCCGCCGGCCCTAACCCTTCTTTGGCCGCCGGCCACCCCACACATAAAGCACTATGCCAATTATGAAACGAGCTTACCTGGCAGCTATGCTAGAGTAAACATCAGATGGCTTGTCCCCGGCAACCAAGTTTACTGCCGCAGCCCCTAACTACAAAGAACTAACTTCAATTAGAGGAAAAGGAAAATATCACATAGACATATTACTCTAAGCTCAAGAAAAGAAATCAATAGGAAGAGAGAAAAGAAAGCCTGTAAATGTTAAGTTAAATGAAGAACATGACAAGTTTTAGTCTGCATTTATGGAGACGATTGCCAGTAATAGAGGTATGGCGTGAGTGGAAAGATGAAGACTTGTTAATGTTAATGGCCACTTAAAACTTGGAAAATAAGGAAGTTATTCAAGAGCATTGGTGAGGAAGGGAAACAGAACTGTTTGTAAATAAGGTAGCCCATCCAGGCAGGGGACGGGTGAGTTGCAGAAAATGCCAAGGAAAATGTAAAGGAATAGAAATATAACAGTGAGACTAAAAACTAGAACTAAATGCCCTGTCTCAATTTCATAAGAAATGGAATATCAGATCTCCAGATGCTTCTTTACATCTAATATCAAAAGAAAGGATGAATTTAATATACTGCAACTGATACAATATTTCAATTTTGAAAGAAAGTAAGACACATTGCCATTACCCCTACGCCTACCATATACTCATGCAAGCAATACCTAGCTAAAATGTGCGCCCTAATTTTGTTAAGATAAAAACTAAAAACAAAAGTACTGAGTACTAATAAAAAATTTTAAACCATAACGGATTAAATGATAACAGTTAAACAATTATTCCAAATCATGAGCAGAATATGTAAAAGAATCAACGTGAGATCAACTTAGCAGTTCAAGAAAAGGCTAAGGCTTCATTTGGGATGGTTTTCTTACTGATTTTTAAAAAAGCTTTCTAGTTATCTAAAAAGCTGCTTTAAGAAACAATAAAAAAGCCATCCCAAACGATTGTTAAGCGTTGGGTTTCTGTCAATTGTACTTTGCATTTAAATTCCCTTGAATTTTGAATGAATTGTCGTGGTTAATCTCTCTTGTACTTCTTTGGGACTTAAGCAAGTTAAAAGTTTCTAATTCCTCTCTCTTATTGCTAGCTTAAATTTAAAAGAGCAAAACTTTAATCTTTTCATTTTAATTTCTGAAATAACTCCTAGTAGTTTCACATCACTAAGGCTTCATTTGGGATGGCTTTCTTACTAATTTTTAAGCAGCTTTCTAGTTACCTAAAAAGCTGCTTTAAGGAACAGTAAAAAAACCATTCCAAACGAAGCTTAAGAACAATGCAAAATTATATAAACTTTTAGTTGCATATTAACCATTGAACAAAAAGCCCACACTTTGCTTATGGTTTCCTGATATATCTGATCCCCAGGGTAAAAGGAAAGAATATACGAAAAATATATTGCAGGAAGTTTACCTTGTCTCTTCCAAGAGCTGCATAATGCTGAAGACCATTACAAGAGCCATCCTGAGAAAAAGGAGAATAAATAGTTTAAGCCACTCAGTTGAAAAGTACAAGAGAAAACTCTAATATGACAAATATAATACTCAAAGAAAAGTACCTGTAGTTTTCTTGTTAATACCAAATTAAAGACAAATAATTAGATGATAGAACTTGAAAAAGAGCAAATAATCTCTGAATTTCGACCCACTTTTGACAGAAGCAGCTGATTTTGGTTTCAGTGTACTAAGATCATTTTAAGCTAATCCACTAATATTTATCTGTAATGACCCAGTGGACAAAAATAAGGGTGCACCTCCAATGCACAAAGTTCACCCCACTGCAGTCTCTAATCACTCACTAAGCTATTGGAAAAATTCCTAATTAAATTTGAAAGTTAAACATAGCAGGTACAAAAGAGTCCTTGATCCTTCTAAATAAATTACAAGGGATTGTGTTTGCCAAAAGCATTGCCAATAGAACCTAAAAGTAAGATGATGTACCTAAAAACGAGCTTTAGTTTAAAATTTCATCTTATAAGGAAAGCTAATTCAACATGTCAGTTTATGTTGAAAACACCTACAAAAGAAAACCCATAGGCTCCAGCATAATCACTTCTCCTGTGAAAAAAGCACTTAAAAACACATACAGTTTGAGAAGAATGCTTGACCTGATGCACAGGTAAATGAGAAATTGTAGTTTCTGGCGAAGAGCTTCTTAATGCTTCTGCCATGTTTATGCAAACTGCCAGAAACTGAAATGGATCCTCGGCAGTCAACCACCAGCGTTCACCTTCGAGTGGCCTATCCGCTGAATCAAATATATCGCTCAAGTGATTCTCAGTGAAAGCAATTCGACCATCATATGACTTTTTGTCGACACCATTTCCATATAAATTTGCCAAATGAATCTTCAACCAGCGCAAGCCAGACTTTCCCAATGGACGCCCCTCGGCAAATTCTAACACGCCTCGACATAAATCTGAACCAAGATGATTCAGATGTGCATGCATTGGGTATGCACGACCCCTAAAATCAAGGTTATGTGGATAATAGAAACCTTCTTCATCTTTCATTTTCCGAGCTACCTGCTCCAAAAAAGAAAATTCAGCTCAACAAAAATTATGGCATCATCAAAAAAATTGAACCTAGACCCCAAGTAAACTTCTTACCGCTAGTTTAAGTTCCACATCACACCGCTGGGAATGTTTCTCACTATTTTCCTTTTTTGTCGCTCTTAATTTCCACCTCCATTTTTTAAGTACATTCTCATCTTCAGTTTCAGGTTTTTCTGGAAGTGGAATCTGCATCATAAATGTAGAAAGTTTAAAAGAACAAAAAGAAGAGAGGCTTGCAAGATGGTAACAATTGGGCTTACAAACAAAGTTTAGAAAATTTAATCAATTAACCAAAAGCCAAACAATCAAATAATACAGTTAAAAAGCTACTCACATCCTCTCGGTCCACCAATTCTGCAAGACGCCCACCACTAGACCATATTCTGTCTACAATACCAAGAACCCTTCTGTTAACCCTCCATTTGGTTGCCCCAAGGGTATCAAGGGCCTGGAAAAGTAGCATAATACAATGAAAATGGATAGGATTGTTCTTTGAGGATATACAATGTCTAATGAGCAAGCTCTCACAGAATGAGAAGCCAGTAACATAGCAAAAAGGAGACATTTCATTGCTTTTACAAGGTGACAGAGATCCATGGACATGTCTTTTCTTAACTATGTAGAGACATTAAAAAAAAATGCCAAGAAAAGGAGAGAAACCTAGATATAATAGCTATTTCAACCAAAGAACATAGAGTAAGTAAAAAACACAAGGAAGCTGAATAAAAAAACTTAATTTTGTAGTATAGTATCCCTCTGGAAGTATGATTAATTGTTTAATTCAGCTAAACATGGAGAAAATAAAGCTAGAAAAAGATATCTATAAAACCTCAAAAACTGGTTGCAATTGATTCCTTGGCACCCTTTTTATTGCCTCGCGCTGTTTTCTTGCTCCGTGAATTCTCATTATGTAAGATGGCAAAAATAAGTGTCCTCCTTTATCATACCTGCCCACAAGTTGGAACACAAAAAAGAAAAAAAGCCACAAACATAAAAACACAAATCAAACTATTTCCAGTGAATGCATAATTAGTTAAGAATGATGCTAAAGGAAATGTTTGTGTAAATCTGATTGCAAGAGCTGAAAACAAGACAATATTTGCACAGATAACATGCTGAAAAGATTATAAGCTTTTTAAAAATTGTAACAAGAACTGTCTAGCAGAAGTGATATTACTGTGATGAATGTATTGAAAGAGTAGGAAAAAGTGTGTGAAACATTTGTATTATAGAGACCATGCAGCTTCATTTGGGATGACTTTCTTAATGCTTCTTAAAGCAGCTTTCTAGTACAAAAATTTAAATTTTTGTACTAGAAAGCTGCTTTAAGAAACATTAAGAAAGCTATCTCAAACGAAGCCTCAGTGAATACGAAGTTATAGAAAAAAGACTTAGCAATTTTGCCATGTGCCTAAAAAAGCATAGAATGAACCACTAAGGCAAGGAGACAAAATTAATGTAGAAAGCATAAAAGAATAAGAAGAAATAGGTAATTATGAAACTAGTTTCACAAAATGATTTATAAACTAGAGTTAACATCATAATATAGCACTAGATAGAAAAAATGAACTAGAAGGTTCAAACGGTTGACCCAAATAGTCATGATTAGGATAATCATTATGAAGATAATGATGATGATGACCAAGAGTCCAAGACATAATGCATATTTCTACGTTAGCATTTTTAAAGAGGTTTTAAGAAAATGAAATTGCCAATTGGTACCATTGACATAATTGCTCATAATGAAGATTTGGATCCTACCCTGTCCAATTCACAGGAGGTATCAACATGGGCATGTACGGGATGACCATGTGCCTAGCCTACAAAATCCACAAAAAATAAAGAAGAAGAAGAAGACAATAAGCACACAGATAAAGGAAGATTACAATAAGAAAACACATTTACAATCGTAGACATACCGTTCTCTCTAGCCCTTGACGAACCAGCGGATCACATTCTATAACCCCATACCTCCTGCTAGATTTTTTCCTGCTTGTTAATCAATTACCAATTACCAAGGTGAAATGCCTAGCAAATGAGAAACCACATAAAACAGCATATATATATATATATATATATTATTTTCTCACAGTTCTTTTGTCAAAGTTTTGAGCGAATGTCTAAATGCAGGGCGGATATCAGGTGGACCATCTATTTGCTGATTAACTGGGGGTTGTATATAAGCTGTGTCAATTAATAGTTCAATCAAGCGGCTCCCCACCTAAATTCACAGAATATGTGGGTGAAAGGCGTTACAACTAAAGGAGAAGAAAACTCTTCAAGAAAATGTTAGGATGCCAATGAATACACAACATATCTTGGTAAAAAAGAATGGGCATAAAGAAGAAACCTTCGCCTGAGCATCCTGACCCCATGGCCTAGTTTTATCCTGCCCTTTAACTATACTCCTTAATTGGGGCAGCTTTTGTTTCTTCATCAAATCTTCAACCTTTTTCCTCAAGAGACTTTCTTCTTTAGCTACTGGATCATCATTATCATATAGACCTCTCTTATTGTTACCATTTTGCTTCTTTGTTTTCAACAAAAATCTATAAATCCGAGCCTGTTCGAACAAATGATCTGTAACAAGTTAAAACAAGGTAGCCCATAGTAGCCAGATTGTACAAGTTGCAAATTCATAAAAAATTAAAGGAGAATTAGAATTAGGGAATTAGAATGTTCAGATCAAGATATAAAAACTTTAAAAATCAAAGAAAATTAAAAAAACAAACTTTTTAGGCAATTTTTCCAAATTAAAAAGTAAACAACTTAGTAACTAACAGATGTACAGATTAGAATTATATAAATAAAAATAAACAAAGAAATTTTGCCACAAGTCACAATAATGATCACAAATGAGAAAAGAATTAAACATTTAAAATTACAAGCAAAACAAATGGGAGGAAAAGAAAGTATTTTTGAGAAAGGAATGCTTAATTTTGTTCTAACATCTAAAAGTGAACAATTTTAATTATCATGCACAGTGCTTTGGATATTTCTGAAGTTTGAAGCCCAGTTTCCCCTAAAGAACTCATGAAAGGGAGGTTTTTAATTGCAAGCTAGTTTTGCAGCTGAAATTTGTTCAAGTTCTATATTTAAAAACTGGACAAAATTAATGACCGTGTAAATGGTTTAGATATTTCTAAAATTCCAAGTCTAGAATCCCCAACATAATTCCTGACGAGAGAATTTTAATTGCCAGCTTATTCAGCTGCTTTAGCAGTTTAGCACCATCCCACCGTGTAAGGAACACCATATTAAGCAGGCATAACAAACATTAGGGTCAACAAACGTATTCCCTAAACAGACCCAAAAACAGCACTCGTCAGACACTGAAAAATCACAAAATCATGAAACATGTCAGTGCACCCTACGCTATCTTAACACCCATGCATTCAAACTATGAAAAAAAATTTAGCAATGCTTCTGAAGAACTTTGAGGCAGAAGGAGAATGTAACACTCCACTTTATGCCTTCTGCCAGCTTGGGAAAAGGCTCAAAACATTAATACGTGTAAGAGGTGCTAGTTAGATAACCTATCCCCTCCCTCTTCAAGTGAGGTTTAGGAGGCCAAGCGTAAGTGTAGCTGTGTAGGTAATTCATTTGGCAAGTGAGGAATAGGGATATGTGTGCATGGGTGGGTAGAAGAGAGAGAGAGATAGTAGCAAGGAAAAAAAGAAGATAATTTACAATATTTTCTTGGTACAAATGGAATGGGAGAGTGGGAGAGAGAAAGAGAGGAAAAAGTAAGGAAGTAAGATGGTCAACTTAAGATTTTTTTTTAAAAATAGGAGGTGTATCCAAGGAATGCACAACAACAACAACAACAACAACATCAAGTCTTAATCCCACTATGTGAAGTCGGCTACATGAATCCTTTTTCTCCATTATGCCCTATTACAAGTTAAATTCTCATTTAAATCAAATAAAGAAAGGTTATTTCTAATCTTTTCTAACCAAATCTTTTAAGGTCTACCTCTACCTTCTTAACACAAGTCAAATCTAATATATCTACTTTCCTAACAGGGTCATCAGAAGGCCGCCGTTTCATGTGACCAAACCATCTAAGGCGACTCTCTCTATCTTCCACTGGAGCTACTTCAACCTTTTCACGTATATGCTCATTTGGTATCCTATCTCTAAGAGTAAAGCCACTCATCCAAATAAGCATCCTCATCTCTCCAACACTTAACTTAATATTATGATTTTCTTTTAATGGCCAACATTCTGCATCATAAAGTACTGCAGGTCTAACTAGCATCTTATAGAATTTTCCCTTAAATTTGAGGGGGAATTTTCTATCACACAACAAGCTCGATGCATTTCTCCACTTCAACCATCCAACTTGAATTCTATCACACAACAAGCCCGATGCATTCCTCCCCATTATGCAGATGGATGATTTATCAGGACAACAGTGAGTGAGGCATCTTTTTTCCACTAACAATGGCAAATATAAGAGTTGCACCCTACTATGCTGACGAAGGATATTAACCAATAGCAAGGTTTATGATATGCTATAGTTACTAGGGCTACATACATCAGCTACATGCTATGATTTATGATGATGATGATGATCATAATCAAATGGTATGGCTATGCTTGTGACTTCATATATTATGACAATTGCTACTATTATCTATTTCATGATAATGATTGTTGCGTCAAATTTTATGTTTATCTATAAAATCTTACAATAATATTCAATGTTCACACACATTATCTTTTTTTCATATTTTCTTTACTTTTATTTAGAATTTTCATATATACTAGGTTATAGATTTATATATATATATAACACAGCTCCATTAATGGTGATTATTTAAAAAAAAAAAACTCCACTGAAGCAGATGAGTCATAAACAACATTTTGCGTACAATCGACAAGAAACTACTATGGTTTGGTACATGAGCAAATATGGTAAACATATAGTGAAGTTTTATGCACATTTGTTCATATGTGCTATTCTATGATTTGTTGGATTCATAGAATTATGAATTATCTGGATAAATATCGTAAAGAGGACCATATGATACACATCTAGATGATACATCTACATATACAGCTTTGTATCTTACAATTATCTAAAATTAAAGTATCAAAATTTAGTGACTCATATCTTTAATTGGATGGTTATTCATTGCTATATATTATTTTATGAAACACTTAAAACGTGATGAGTATAAGTGATGAACGTACCATGTGAGGGTGACCGTTCCGCTATTAGGTATGTATTTTTCTGGTAATAGCATATTAGGCATATGTGAATAGTTCACACCCTTTCACTTCAATCGTTTATCCCCCACTTGCTCCATTTGAGCTTTCAGGCTAGTCCATGACACTTCTTATAAAATATATAGGAATCTTTATCAAGCATTGTTTTTACTTGAGAAATAGGAGAAACTGGGCCCATCCAACAAGGATTTTTAGTGAATCAAAATATTTCCAAATAGTTAACCAACTTGCAATTCTACCTTTGGCCAAGAGGGGCTTTGAAAGTTTAACTATCTACAGAAACAGTAAAAGTATCAAAAAAGCAACCATATATTGAATGTAGAAGGATTTGGGAGAAAACACTTCCACTAATGCATGACAATGCTACAAATTCAACCAAAAGATTACTGGCGTTAAATAAAACAATATCAAGTCAACAGGGTGGAAAGGATACATGAAGCCAACCAAAGATATTAGCATAATTGTGTTGATGATGACTATTTGGTGACCACCCTATTTTAACACGGAAAAACTATTGAAATTTAAGTAAATTCAATTGCTTGGAAAGTGATTATGATAGGAAACTAGTTCTAATAGGGTTACATATGTAGTAATCAAGGTACCCCTACACTCTTTGAGCTGAGTAAGCTACTCCACAGGTATGTTACCACCAACCACTTGGTTGAGTGTATTGTTTAAAATTGCACAACATGAGGCTGGGCGTCTTGAGGCCTGCATCAGCGCAATTCGAGTGAAAAATGCCTCAAGGTTTATGCCTTGAGCTTTTTTATGAGGCTTGCGGCTCAGCTTGGTTGAGGCCCACCTCATCTCGCTGACATGAGGCTTAAGCCTCATCCTATATATATATATATATAAACTAAAGTCCCAAACAAATCATGCACCCCCAAGCCACAATAAGTTCCTCTCAATTGCCTCATTCTCTAGCTCGCAACCTTCACCACAACCACTACCATCGTAGTCATTGCTTAGGATCACTTGAAAATCGCACACCACCACCACCTTCTCCTCTAAAAATTTTGGAGAATTAATCTCATATTTATGTTGATAAAAAAATATTTATGAAAGACGAAGATGTTTGAATAAATGAAGAATAAGCAAGTTGAGAGGCATTTGTATTCACATGATGAGATAGGGGAGAGGCCAATTTGTAATGACGACGACAAATGATGACAATACAAATGGTTTCTGAGTTGTTATCAACTATTTCAGCTTTCTCTAGGAATTATATATGGATGAGTAGGGAATTGAGAAAAAAGGAATTTATAGTTGAATTTGATGATATTTGATACTTTATGCAATTCCTATATTTAATATTATTTTGCTCTTTTAATATTTAGATTTCAATTCTATTTCATGTAATTTATCACTTTCCACTCTACATCTTGTGCAATTTTTTGTTTCATAAGTATATCAATTTGTTACTTCATAGTTCAATAGAAAGTTAATAAGTCATCTTTTAACATATTATTTGAGTATTACATTAAAAAACACTTTTAACATTTATTTTCTCTGTATGCTATTTTTTTTAATTTTGATACTTACACCTTGTCTCACAAACAAAAAAATGTCTTAATACCCAATTGCACAATTTTAAACCTTGGTTGAGTGGCATTGTTTTTTTTTTCCTATAGTAGAAGTCAAAGATTCAAACCCTTATAAAAATCTACAACTGTGTTTCTCCATGAAGAAGGTGCATTTATGCGATTGCGCTTTCCAATGCATGTTTACCGCAAAACATAAAAGTTTTGATATACTTGGTCTTTGAAACATAAAGCTAGCAAAAGAATTGCCAAACAAAGCCCAAAACTCATTCAGCATGTTACTAACTTAAACCAGTGGAACAAGAATAAGCCAACCCATCAATAAGATGCAAAATCTCACACCTCTTGCTCAATGGCATCACCAATCTGACAAGAAGCCTGAACAACCCGAACACTCCCATCTCCACTTGCTGTCATGAGCAAACCCATCAGCTTATGCATAGTGATGACTGCCATCATATCTGAAGGAAGCTCATTGAAGTACGGAGCATGTGAAGCCTTGCACTTGGGATCTTTACACAGCTCCTGCTCTGCAACAATCTGATCCCTAAAAGGCTCAAACCAGCCCAAAAATAAAGACTTCATGTAAGGCAAATTAGGCGCAAGCTTCTTCTCGCACATATCCATTAGAAGCTCTTTGTATTCTTGTGCCGCCTGAGCCCACGCCTCTGTCTCAATCTTTATCTGCTTCCGCCTGAGAATGTGGTACTTTCCAGCTCCCATGCCTGGAATCACTCTCGGCATATGCTGCTGTTTCTGTTGCTTATGCTGTGCCATCTTCCTTAAACTCCCAACAGAAGTATCAATGGCCTCTTCTCTACTACTAATCGCTTCCAGAAAATCATGAATTTCCTCAACCGAGGAAGTCTCTTCATCGACGTCAGTGGAGGAAATGGCTTCAACTGCCTCAGCAACGCTGGCAAACCCCTTGAAACTGGCGACAGATAGAATTCCTTGACAAGAACTCTTACCTAACAGTACCCTGGAGCCTTCACTCTGCTTACAAAGACTCAGCTGAGAGAACATGCTGTAACCTTCGCTAAAAGGCGTTCTCAAATCCAAGATCGAACCTTTTCTCAAACATAAGCTATCTTCGAGAAAATTAGAGATGGGAGTGTAAACGGAGGACAAGGAGAAGGAAGGATAAGGTCGGGAAACTCGCCTGAATATGGTTCCCCACATATCCTTTCGATATGGACAAGCTATAGATTGATAATGGGGCGTTAACGGCACCTGATTAGAATTGAAAGAAGGAGATTTGGATTGGATAAGGGCGGCGCAGCTACTCATCAAAATCGTCTCTGAAAAAAAACGATGGAATGAGAGAGAGAGAGAATGGAAGCTGAGAGCTCATCAGACGGGAAGAGAGGTAAAGACGGGGATATAGCTCGGTTCGGGAAGATCCGAACGCCGCCTTCGAAGCCGACTTTCCATACGCAAACCCGCCTTAAACCCTATCACGTACTGTTACTTGCCTGCAGATCGTAATCGTAAATTTTCTGAATAATTGGTGGCAAAAAATTGTCCACTTGTTCCGACAATGCAGGGATGAAAAATTTGTATTCAATTTCTTTTTATCTAAATAATATGATATAAAATATGTTAAAAAGATTTATAAAATTTTAATTAAAATATTTTCATTTAGGATTTAGCATAAATTGATATATATTTAACACTATTATAAAAAACAATTAATAATTTTTAAACTCATATAAATATAGTATATATCAGACATAATTTTTTTCTTTATAAGAAGCTCTAAACTACTTTTATAATTAAATATCAGACAATATCATTTGTAAGCAAATTTTAATGATTTTTATATCGATAATAATTTAAATTAGTAGTAAAAATATTAAGAATATTTATTTTAATTAATTTAAAACTACTCAAAATAAAATATTTTTGACTCAAATTTGATTACATTTTTTGTGAAATAATATTATTATGTGAAGGGAGAAATCATTTCGGATTAGGGTTAGCTAATCGGTCCTTAATTGAATAATCTTAATATTTTATAATCGGTTTATTAAGATTAGAACCATTAAAAGTAAAAAAAATTAAAAATATTTATCTTCTAGAGCTAATTGATGGATTTACATTATCATAAAATTTATATATATTTATATATCTTATACTTAATTTTTTGCATTTTGTTAGGGCCTTTTAATTTGCTAAAAAAAGGAAGGTAGATTGGAAAGAATATAAGAAAAAGAATGCTATATATTTGAAATACATTGAAGTTGTTTCGATGAGAATAAAATAAATATATGTAATTATTATTATTTTTTATCTGGCTTAAAGTAAAATGAATGCAGTGTAAAACCTGAGAATGACAATGGCCGGTGGCTGATGGTGACAGATAGTGACAATAACAGATAGTTTACAGAGTATTTAGAAATCGGTCAAATCTAACAATTTTCAACTACTTAAAAAATAAACTAGAGGGTGAATTCTAAATGCACCAAAAATTTACACTGCATATATTTTACTTCAAAATAAAACATTAATATCTCTCAAAGCTTCTGCATTTGAAATGCTTTACACTAATTTTAGTTCAAATCAATCAAGCCCTAATGCATATTATTTAATGTGATTTAGCACTAAAGTAGTATGTAAGAAAAAAAGCACTAAAGTAGTATGTAAGTGAATATAAAATCTAAATATGAGCCAGTTAAATGCCAAAAAAAAATTATGATTGATATGACACCAAAAATTCGTCTTAATCGGGTAGGAATCTCAATGCAAATATAAGATTGAGGCTTTAAAAATTAAAATTGGGACCATCTTATCTCCCATTTCAGCAAGATTATATTCAAATTAAAATATCAAGGAGAAGAGCCTGACGACATTAAATTTGATCCAATCCAAACCCAACCAAGTCCAAATCAAAGATCCAAAGGCCATTTGAAAGCTTTAAAACATTAATTGGACTACTAAATTATATCCGAATACGGCATGCTTATAGTCGAATTGAACGACTCGACGAGACAAATCGAACAAGACTAAGATCTTTCAATTCTGACATCTCTAGGGCATCTAAATGCTTGATAAACCCTTCAAGCTTAAAGGGATCATTATGAGCCGTCCGATAGACCACTCTCAACATGCCCCCTTGATCTTATCCATATTTACTAGTTATACCACTCCAAAAAATCTATTAATAGGCCCCCATTCTTTATAAAATGAAGAGGAGGAAAATGAAGAAGAGAAGAGTTATGAGGCTGAAGCTCCGTCCCAACAGCACTTCCGACAAAGCTACGCCACCAGGTTGCCACTGTTAAACGTTTGGCCAACCATCATCATTGGACTTCCATATGGATGCCACTAACTAGCCTTACTTTGGCCATCGTCACCCCCCGAATAGTCCTTCCGATCACATTCGCCTGCCAACTACGATCATACTAATCAAATGAACATACCAACATTTTTTAAGAACTGCAGTCATATCATGCGCTCTATATAAGGTGTATTTGTTATATTGAGCCAACGTCTTCCTCTGAAGAGGGACATCATTTGTAATCAATCATCAATAGTAGTGGATTCATTCAAAGTGGGCTAGGCCTCGTAATTTTTTTTCCTGTTCAGTGTTTTACACGAAAAAATCTGTCTCTTATGAATGTTGCACCCCTATCTCTTATTTGTCTGTATGTTGGATTTTCGTACAAAGCTAGGACTCTAAACTCTACATCTCCTTGCCGTCGTGAATATTCCAAGATGCAACAATGTAATTAATGTTATGAATCTCCTAAACTTAATATATATTATAAATTTGATTGTAACACCATTGCAGATGTGAATTATTGTAAAGTTAATTACAAAATTTTAAATCAGAATTCATTCAATAGTAGAGTAATTAGTGGATATTTACAAGGTTAAGAGAATGAATTAGCATTAATGAAGGTTTGCTGACTTGAGTAATTTTGGTTTGATATTTCTCGGAAAAACAAAACTAGAGACCAACACAAATAATGTGTATTGTGCAAGATCACTCATCATTTAAAAAAAAAAAGTAGTAATTTTGATCCCAAAGAGTCCCACAACTTCTTAATGACCTATTGATTTAAAAGAATATTTGATTGTTAAGTACTATAGAACTTGAACATGTAAAAAAAAATCATATATATATATACTCAAGTACTAATGCTTTTCATATCATCTTTTTCTTCTGTTCTCTGGTGTGACCTCTTACACTTGTTTTAACTACATTGGAAGAAGCTTCAGCTACCTTTGCCACCTTTGGATCCACTTTAAACACCCTCTCTTCAGCTCTTATTTCTTCTCTAGCTTCCATCTTTGTTGCTTGCTTATGGATGTTCAGAGGATCAAGAGAATGGCGTTTGAGTGGTCCATGTGGGGTTCCAGTAACTTTATCTTGCTGTATGTATAAGAGCTGAACAATTGTTCTCAATGGCATCCTTTCATTTGCTATTGCGTGTGATCTCGCTTCTGCTGAAAGCTTCTCACAGTCAATTACTCTGCACAGTTGCTTTCGATCACTCTTGCTAAGCTCTGGGTGTTCCTGCAAGCAGTAGTTCAGAGCTGAGTATGTTCTTAAAAAGAATGAAAAAAATTTAAATTAAGGCTTCGTTTGGGATGACTTTTTTGCTGCTGCTTAGTAAAAAAAATTAATTTTTGTATTAAAAAGCTGCTTTAAGAAGTAGGAAAAAAGCTGTCCCAAACGAAGCCGAAAGAGAGATCTACATACCTTGATGAAAGTATCAATTGCTCTATAAAGTCCATCATGTTTCTGTCTGGCTATCTCTGGCAATATAAGAGCAAGATCAAGAAATTTAGAGGCTGAAAGGTCAGAATCATGAGCGATAATCTCCAGATAAGAATCAAAGATCAGTGCCACCCTTTTCATTGCACTAAGCCTGCGCTCACTTTCTTCTTCATTTAATGGCGGACGAGTGAATTGTCTTAAGAAATTATCCAATATGGTTTCCACAATATCAATATCAAATGAATGTGGCAAATTCAAAGAATGAAAGATAAGATCATTTGGTTCAATTTCATCAAGTTGACGACCACATCCTCTCACTAACTCAGCCTTAACAGAAGGAGAAGCACCAACTAAATTAGCAATTTTGAGCAATCTTACAAAGAATTTCCCTGAGACAGAACCAGGCTCAGATGGAATCAAACTAACAGTAGATTCAAGCACTCTTTGATTCTTCGCCATAGTTTCATGTTCATATTTACTCAAACTTTGAGCTGAATTAAATTCATCTGGATCTGGGAGTTGTTTACATGCAAAGACATGAATTGCTTCTCCAATTAGAGCTGAAGGAAGCTGTTTTTTTGATCTGATAGCATAAATGACTGAGCAGAATAGATCAATATTCAGATCAGATATATCTTCAGTCCACCAATCTTTTGGAGCAGAATTATGCTTCTTTCTGCTAAAACCTGGCCTTGTGTAAGTATAAGACCAAGTAACTTGTGATGGAGATGTGAGGATTTTATCAACAATGGAGTCTAGACAAGTTTGTATGATTCTCTGATCATCGTACCAGTTCATAATACCAGCATTCTGGAGAGTAATAATTGAGTCTTTCCATCCATAGAGAATACAGGAATTGAAGAAACCTTCTAGTTTGATAATTAGATTTCCTCTGGAAACTGATTCAGTCATGCGAAGATGCATGGCGGCAGCCATGGCTTGAATGAAGTTATGAGCACTGAGGCTAATGGAGATATTGTAACAGAACTTAGCACAGAGTTCGAAGGCCGGCTCGCCGCCCGGGAAATTGAGGAGTAAGATAGGAGCTGGATGACCATCTTTGTCTGGTTCTGACCATAGCCGTTGGAGTAAGCCACATTTCAGAAGAAGCGGAAACTGCTTTTAAGAGAATATGCAAATCAAGAGCTTATTAAGGTTTTCTTTTAAGAATTTGAACGAGTAATATACATTATTATTTTGTTCTTATGCAAAATATACTCATAAATGTTTATTTTTTCTAAGAAGACAATCAATAATATTGTATTGCAAACAAGTACTAGTATTTTTAATTTATTTTTAAAAATATCATATATTTTGAAGTAAATTTTAAGCTGAAAACTTGAGCTATAATTTTGGTGTTCAACTAACCTGAAAATTTTATGTTATTTAATGGTAGATTTTTATAATAAGCTTCTAAAATAGGGATCAAGCTTGTTAATGCTCCAACAATGCAATATTTGATGGACCATTTCATTGCATTTTTTGGAATGCTTAGGCTCCTTAATCATCCTTTTGAGTATAAGATATTTAACTGACTCGACTCTCCATTACTTTAAGGGGTTGTTTGGTAGCTCCCAGGATTTGAATTAAGTAGGATTTCGTAAATCCGATAAATCCGGATTTCGAAAATCCTGAGGGGCCTAAATCCTTAAAACTGTTTGGTAACATTTATGATAAATCATATTAAATCATGTGTGACTGTTTGGCTACAGAATGGATTTAACAAGCGAACTCTTCTTCTCCAGCCAACGGATTTTGTAAATCTGACATAAAACAGGATTTCAGAAATGCAGGATTTAGCACGAAAAGGTGGAATTTTCCATCTACGGCGAATTTCGTTTGCCTTGAGATTTAGTTTTGCATTTTAGGCAGTTTGGCTGGATTTCCCTCAAATCTACCTCAAATCCGGCCTAAATCCTGCTACCAAACAGCCCCTAAGAGCCTCTCTATCAGCTTCAGACAGAGCCCGAATCACCTCTAATAAGAGAAGCAAATTGGACATTTAACGAGAGAGAGAGAGAGAGAGAGAGAGAGAGAGAGAGAGAGAGAGAGAGGTCATACCTTATGTAGAAGATACCTTGTATTGTTAATTTGTATGATAAGATCAGTTGGCACATCTGTCAATATTGACCTGCAAGATTTTTTTGTGACATTTAATATTCATAAGCACTTCCTTTAAAAAATAGTAAAATAAACACCACCACAGGAATATAGTTCTTTTGCAACTAATTTATCAATCAAAAACATCTTTCTGTGACCAGAAAACCAGTCACTAAAACCTTGGTGGCAAAGATATCTAAGACTACCAAAGAGGACAATCACAAAATTTTGCGACCGTTGACCACCATTACAGGTTCATCTTAACAACTTTTAAGAAATCAAACTGAAACTATTTTGTGACTAAAAAAAATCCTCAAATTTTGTATATGAATTTCATTTACTCACCAGCAGTTTTATCTGCTGAAAATCAAATTACCTTGTGGCCTCTTCAGTGTAGAAAGTATCTGGTTTTGTTCCGAGTTTCATATATTTCATCTTGGTTGTTGTTTCTTCTGGTTCTGGTGAGATCTTCTGAAGCTACAGCATATTTCCATCACCTCTGCATTCAACGACTGAATAAATTACCATATGGATTCTGAAACTGAATAGCTTTGAAAAACAGTGTAAGGCTTTACATGTTTACAAAAAATAATTAGGATCAATAGAAAGGGTGCCTACCTTATGAACCGTTTTTCAGCCATGATTCCATCATCACTATATATCATTTCAACTTGAGCTTCTGCAAACAAAACAAAAGACCCAAATATTTCAGATGGTAAAGAAAATGAAAGCTTATGACAGATTTACACTTTTTTACATTATGATTAATGCACTACTACTTTGGAGAGAGAGACAAAACCTTAGAGAAACATGAAAAAATATATATCAGAAATGAATTAGAAATCTGAATATGTGGAAAACTTTAATTTTCTATGAGGATTTAGGGAGAGGGAGAGGGTAAGAGGCAGATTAGGCAGAGGGTTGTTGTTGCTGTGGGGTATATTTCATTCTTTACTATGCTTTTTCTACTATATATTCCTTTCACTCAAGATGAGAGGTAGATATAGACATATATATATGTCATAATCGATTACAACTTCAAATTATAATAATATAAGATGGGAAGAGAGAGAGAGAAGGGTGGGGGGAGTCTTCAATCTTAGCTTGAAGGACTATGAAACAAAGGAAGCTTACTTCAAGGAGGGTCTGATGGAGTAATACAAGTAGTAAAGTGGTTTGGAATAAAAAGAAAACCTTATTTCTTCTATGAACTAGCTTTGTGGTTATGCGGTTCTCCCATACTTCTGATTTCTCTATGATATAGATGACATGGGCTTACATGCACTTATTTTGAAAATCATATGTTGAAATCTTTTATCTTAGATGTATGGTAAGGACTTAGGCCTTCTCCAACTGAACTCCAAACGCATGAATGACATCGCTCGCGAGCTCTAGCTGAATGGCAAAATTTCGCTATTTGGTTGCGGGTGAACAGTGCGATGCCAATATTGACGCCACACTGTTCACCTACGCTATTTTTCTATCTCTACCTGATTTGCCGAAGAAATGCATGAAAGAGGAGAAAGACAGTTACCTTCGCAGAATGGCGCAAAATGGAGTTAGATTGGAGATGAATTACAATATTTTTTAGTTTCATTGCATTTTGGAGTGAAAAATGAGATTTTCGATTGGAGATGCCCTTAGGCTTCATTTGGGATGGCTTTCTTACTGCTTCTTAAATAAGTTTTTTGGCACAAAAAAAATTAATTTTTGTACTAGAAAGCTGCTTTAAGAAGTAGTAAAAAAGCCGTCCCAAATGAAGCCTTGGCATACCCCTGGATTATGATTCTCTACTTAAATCTAGTGCAAATGTAGGTGATCGTGATTTTGCAAAAAGGGCATACAATTTATTTAATAAAAAATGTATGATTTTTCTTTATTATTTTTTCAAAGAATTATAGGAGTCTCAAAAGATCTTGAGGAATTTAACTTTACTATTTAGGTTTTAAAAACATCAAATTGGTCTTGACCTGAGAAGTTCTAACTTTGATGACCCCCCTCAAGCTGTCATAATTCCTTTATGTCTTTAGTTAATTGTCAGTCCTAAATAATATCTATCTTCTAAGCCTTTATAACTAGCCTACTTGAACCCAAAGACCCAATGGGTTAGATTCTTGCCAAATCAAGTGAGTTAGGTGCTGATTGTTCTTGCTAAATACTCAAAACTAGCCTCAATAGCATGATCATGAGCTCAACTTGGGGTGATGGTTACTAGTCATACCCAATTGACTAAGGCATCGTTTGGGGCAACTTTCATATCGCTTCTTAAAGAAGTTTTTTAGTACAAAAATTAAAATTTTTGTATTAAGAAGCCGCTATAAGCAGTAAGAAAGCCGTCCCAACCGAAGCCTAAACCTCAAGCCAGGCTTTTTCAAGCTCAATTTACCCAATTAGGCTTGATTTCCATTAGGTGGAAGTAAACAATATCGACCGCCTTCCTTAAAGGAAAGAATTTGATTCAATCCTAAAATTATTTGACTAAATCAGCTCAAAATAAGCTTAACTCATCATAATTTTTTTTTTCATAACTTCATCACAACTTAATTGTCTTAATCTAGATCTAGCTCAACACTAACCTAACTAGACCCAATTCACTCAAGTTCACATTAAATCCATTCTTTCTCTCCTAAATATGATAGGTTTCATAGTAAATACAACATGGATTCTCATAGTTCAAAACTTTTGATTTGATGATGATAAAACTTTTTCTGAAATTTAGAGGAGTAACAAAAACCTTCACTCCCTCTTTGATTCCATGAAATATTTATAAAAGTTTAGTCATCCACAATAACTAATGATAAAAAAAATTTGAATTCTTTCTTGCTTGAACTTCTCTATAGGTCCTCAAATTGAGAAATTATTCTGTGCGGAGGCCACATGTAGCTTGTGTCTGGAGGTGAATCAGGTGCAGCCATGTCAGCGGTACTAAGCCACAGTATCGAGCAATACCGAGCCATGGTACACAACAAAGGGGTGACGTGGCACAATATTCTGGTTGATCTCCAGACGGGATTCAACGTCCGCAAAGAATGATTAATCCCTAAAATCAATTGATTCTGATCATAATCTCCTGATTTTTACTCCTTGTCCAATTCCTTCATAAAATTGCATGTGGAACACTATAAATATGATTTAATCCTATTTTTCCAAGTTCTATTCATAAGTAGACAAACATAAAGTTAGGTGGAATAATTTCTAAAGGAATATTTTCAGTAAAAATTTGTCATTATGTGCTGATCTGTTTTCCATATTAATATAACTTTAGAATAGTTGATAAATATCTTGAGTCTTATTATTCAGAATTTAGGTTTAATCTAACATATATCAAATTTATATTTTGATGCTGACTATTTTAAGAAAAAAATTAGAATAAAAAAAAAATTATTTTTTTAATGAAATTACAAATCTTCATATTTCATGTAAATATTTGTTAAAAATTTAATAATTTATTTTTGAAATAATAAAAAATGTTTTTTATTTTTAATTTAGAGTTCAACACAAAAGAAAAATTTTATGAGCACATATATCCTCAAATTTAATACTCTATTTAAAAAATAAGTACAATTATTTTCGCATGTTTTTTTTTTCATATAGATTATAGATCAATGATAAATTACTCAAATGAGTGATTTAAATTTTAAATATTAATATCACATGTTAGCATTTAAAAGCTATTTTGATGCTAAGCGAACGAGAATATGAAAACCTAATATTTCTTTTAAAAGCCATTTATCTGTAAAATTAATTATAAAAATATTATGAAAAAACAAAAATTTTAAAAATTATTGTCATTATTATATACCTTTTTTTTTCTAAAAACCTTAGATAATAACTTTCCAATTATTCAAAATTCTTAATAAAAAAATAAATTATGAAAAAAAAGACAATGATCATTTCTCAATAAAATTGTTAAAATCATATATATATATATAAATATAAAAGTTTGTATATGTGATTTGCATAAATTTATGGTTTAATTTGTTAAAAAAATTAACATTATAAGGATCATTAAATATGTATAAAGTAAGTTGATTACAGTGGAAACATAATGCAAAACATCTTACTTAAAGCTACATCCTACAGCCTAAAAAAACAAGAACCAAGATGCTAAAAGGGGAGGCCTAGCTAAGTTCGCTGTAATGATTTTGGCTTCGTTTGGGATGTCTTTTTTACTGCTTTAAAATAACTTTTTAGTACAAAAATTTGTATTAGAAAGATGCTTTAGAAAGCATCAAGAAAGTCAAACCAAACGATGCCTTACATATATTTGAGATTAAATTTGCAAGAGAGGCTGAGATCAGTTGAATTTTTTTTTTTTCTGAGAGTTTTAGTGATATGCTGCTATTCAGTCATGTTGTGAATTTGTTTTATCATCAAAGCATTTCTCTCATTCTTACCTATGCATATAAGCTATGTTGCACCGATACGGATACGGCGACACGGATACGACACGATGCGGATATGGGACACGTCAATTCTTAAAAATACAGGATACGGGTACGGCGCAAACACGGCAATAATTTATAAATCATACATAAAAATTAAGAAAGCAATCAAAACATAATATTTGAAATTACAAAAAAAATGACAACAACATCATTTGTAGCATTGTAGCTTATAATATCAAATTATAAGTAAGCATTAAATGTCTAGTACAACAACAAAAGCATAAACATAAATTATCTAGCACATGAAGTTTCAACTATTCAATAGAAGGAATGATATAATTATCTTCTTCATTGGTTTGTCTTTGAACTTCCATATCATCTTCAATAAATATCATAGCTTCTAATTCAGGCTCATCAAGTGAAAGAGTAATAGTTTTTAATATTTTCATATCATCAAGAGACTCAAATCCATCTCGAAAATGAGAGAATCTTGCTCACAACCGCGGAAGTAAATACGACACATTTTTTTTTTTATTTCTTTTTGTTTTTTCAACGGACAAGCGTATCGGACACGTGTGTCCTTTTGAAATTAAATAGTATTTCAATTGAATACGGCTTTGACATATCCGACACGTATAGGTGGAGCATCGGAGGTGTATCTGTGTATCAGATACAACACGCCTTCATAAATAGGTGTATTGGTGCAACATAGCATATAAGCATCACAAAACATCTGATAAGCACCATCATTATGTGCAGACACATAACATCTATCAGTCCAAAACAAATTTAATCATAAGGAAAACCATTTATTTCTCATTTGAAAGCACAAGTAGAAATTAAATACCCCCAAAATCCTTAGAAAATTTCATCATATTTTTTTAACATGAATGGCAACCAAGGCATCATTACCACATGGAGAGACAAAGAAAGCAACATCAATGGCGTTATGCGAAGACAAAGAAGAGAAAGATCCTTTTGTTATTTAGCACTCTCTTTCATTAAAGTTAACACTAAGGGAATCCTTTGATATTGTCCATTAAGCTATCAGGAGAAAGCAACAGCGGATATTAAGAATATAGTCTGCTAGTGGAAGTGGAAAAGAGGAGAAAGTGATTAATTTGTCTCCAAACAGTGGACCTGTCATATCTGCTTACAACTTTAAGTGTTAGATCCAGCTCTGACGCTTTAATTATAGAGCACCAAGGGAAAGTTGGGAAGGCGAGATTCTTCATTCTGATTATCATTTCAGAATGCTATATATCTGAAAGATGAGTACTGACTGTTAATTGTAGAAGGCTTTGAATTTTTTTTTTTCTTTCAAACTTGTTATGATTCTTAGTATATTAGTCATGGATGGTATATTGATGAGTTGACTAAGGAAAGTGTTGATGATTGATGCAATGTGAAAGGATTGGGAGTTTATAGCTCTTAGTGGTTGATTTTATTAGTGCTACCATTATCAAATACTGTTCTCCTCAACTCATTGCCTCAATCAGATGTTTGCCACTTCCATCTGCTACTGTACAAGCTCCTCAGTCTACTTTTATACCTGATCTAATCACAGCCGATCATTTCTAACAACATCAATGGCATTCTTGTAATTACCACTATATGCCTTAGGCCCTTAGCTAGTATATATGAAATTACTGTATAAAGGTTTCTGCATATGACTGAAATACATTTCCTATCTTCTTTGTTCTTCTCTATGGGTTTTTCCTTCTCTGTCTTTTGTGTATTCTACTATTC